CGATGCAAGCTGTCCATTAAAAAATAACGGTATTCTATTTCACAAAGCAAAATTTAAATCTCACTTGTATATATTAAGAATGCATATAAAGCAAAAAATTAAAGCTTATTCATGTCAAAACGAAAGCTGTTTACAAAATTTATAAAGGTGGTGAACACTACTAAACAGTGCTCATTGAAAGACATGTATAATATAGTGACATATAATTTGCCGTTTGACTTATCTTTGGTGTATGATTTTAATACCGTAGATTTTCAACAGACAGCTATACTTTGACATATACCATAATCGTTGGATTCAGCAATGCCAAGGGCCAATTTTATAGTCTTTTGACGGGCTTTAAGTTTTTTGATAAGGCCTTTATATAGATCAACAATCTGGATACAGTTGTCGATATTTCGGAAATCAAAAGATCTCGCTATTTCGTTGCAATTCCACATCTCATCAATAAATAAATTCTTTTGGTCCGAGTATCAGGATAAACTTTAATACTAAATAAATAACAACCACACTGTTCGGTCTAGAGATATATATTTTCTTGCAGGTTTAATCACAGTTTAATATTGCCACGCTGCACAAGCGGCAAGCGTGCTTTCTTTGGCAAGTCTATAATGAAATCTGATCCAACTTGCTTGAATTGTAACTCGACACCAGATTATAGAGTAGAACGTCACGACATAAATATTAATTCAAGAGTTCTCTTTATAATTACGATTTCTTGTTGCAAATTTACAGTAAATTTCATCACTCAAAGTTGCAATTTTAAAACGCTACAAACACGCTCCTTTCCCACCCCTCTCACAGTTACAATTAAATTTACCTCCCAGAATCTGGGAGGCACGTGACCAGCCGCAGCCAGGGTCTCTCCCAGATGACAGACGGAGAGACCCTGGGAACGAGGTTGATATAGTGGGTGTAATAAATTATAATAATAATGAATTAGAAAATCCAAGATGGCCGCCAACCTAAGAGTGTCCACAAAATTTAAGTGCTTAGAGCGGCTTAAAAATGCGTTTAGTCTTTGAAATTTTTCCTTCTTTTTGCTACCAACGTACTCGAAATCAGATTCGTCAGCTTTTATTACATGGGAACTATGTAGTTGCTGTTCTTCCAACTGGGTTTGGTAAATATCGTTCGTTCGCTAAACAAAATTAACAGCCAAAATATAATAGTATTACGACAGATGTTCTGCAGCTGGACAGGCTTGCCTAAGAGGACACGGAAAGTGTTTTGAACTGGGGATGTTAAACTTGGTTTTACCCTTCCAAAGACTCTGCTGTGCGACGATTGGAGAGAGTTTATGAGGAATATTTTATACAGTGATTCAAAGAAATGTTTTTGCATATACTGTATATGTTATTGATCTATTGTTGAATGTCACTTATATTATAAAGTGCCAATGGTTGGAATATTTATTCATTGATATTTTAAACACAAATGAAGTGTTATATGCTCTTTCCTTGTTTACGTTTTCCTTGCAGCCAAATGTTGTTGAAGCTGGCAAGCTGCAAAACTGACATACGAGTGATATGACCCCAAATATTGGATAGGCATCTTAGTTTGCTTCCAGTAAAATGTATACGAGATAAGAAATATTACGTTTAAAATCATGACTGGCAAATTAGCATGTGCGAATTGATGCTTCCTAATAATAGTATGTACTCCAGTAAAGCTTGCTTGCTTCAATTCTTGCTGTTACCAGCTGCACATCAGGGTGGAGAGTTGATTTGAATATTTTATCCCAGGGGATAAAGGTAGGGAATTGATTTTCCATCACAAAAGGGGCAAGGTGCCCATCCAGTTAGAAGATGGCATGTACTTTAAGTGACCATTCATTATACCCTAGGGTGGGGTGGGAGATTCTTATGTCAAAATGTCATGGGACCCCTTTTTAATCTCTTAATTTAATAATAGAGACCCCTCCTAAATATTTAAGACTATATAACATGACGCAATTCTAATCTTCATTCATGTGAATGCCTGGCTATGAAGAAAATACATTTTGCAACTGACAGGGATATCCCCAGCAAGATCTGGTGGGGGGGGGGTGCTCTGCCAGCTCTGGTGCCGAGTCGTGTTGGTCATGTGTGCCACCTGCCCATCAACTTGCTTCACTACTGCAAAGTCTTGCTTTACTACTGTATTTGAATTGTAATTGTTGTTCACAGCTCACTCATCATGTTATTACTCAAATTACTGCATCTCATTTTGCCTCTAATAATTTTTTGCTTTAATTATCATGAAAAATAGCACCCCCTCTGGCCAGGGCTAGGGGGGTGCACACCCCCCAGTAAATCCATCCCTGTTGCAACATACACTATAAGAGCTAGAATGATTGCTTCCTTTGGATGATTTGTCTTAGAATTATATTGCCTCTATTACAACAATTCTTCCTATTCTGAAACCAGTTGCTATTCTGTGTTTTACAACACTCACCCCCCCCCAAAAAAATAAAAGACTCAACAAATCAAGGCCCCCTCCAAGGCAATTTTGCCAGCACAATAGATTTAATTTGATGGTAACTGTTCTGAGAATATATTAACTCATTGAGTGGCAGCATTCTGCCTAGACTTGCCACAAGTCGACCTCGAACGAAACGCAAGCAGCGAGCGTGAGCCGACGTTTCGTTCGAGGTCGACTTGTGGCAAGTCTACAATCTGACCTTGAGTAAAATTGTCTGGCACCAGACGGAGTAATATACTAAAGTAGGGCACATTGCCACTATAAAGGGTTAAACAAATTAAAAAAATGTTTGCAATGGTATATATTCAAAAAGCTCTATTTGTAAATTTTAATTGACTTTTATATACCTACTTATAGTTTTAGCTACCTTGCCCCAGTCACTTCAAGTGAATTCTACGGGAGGAGGGGGACATTGAAAATCCCTGGATTTACTTGGTAAAAGCAAGAATTGAACCATGCATTACATGTATATGGAGAGCAGTTTTAAATATATTTTATCATGCAAATTCCTTGATAATTGTTCTTAAACGTCTTTGGCTTAGAATGGGTACACCCCCCAAAGGTGTTTATTTACAGGGTCCGGAGGTGTAAATATACACTGTCCAAGGTGTTAATATAAACAACAAAACAATGTATATAATTAAATTTTATTAAATAAAATGTGGAATATTTTACAAATTGCAATTACCATCCCAAAGTGTACAATTATCAATATAATTAGGACTTAGAAGCTGTTCACATGAGTTTGACTCTGACCCAGCACCCTTGGCTAGCTCCCCTTGCCCGATCACAAGTAGAAAACCTCCAAAGAGGCAGGATTTTCTGGAATATTATTAGCAGTGAAATTGTTGCATATTTTCAAGCATGCATTGTAACCTGATTTTAAAGCCTGTTTGAGCATCAAACATTGTGGCAATGACAATATGGTCCAGCCATATGAATACAATCTTAAAATATTATAAAAACAATGCAATTTAAGGCCAGGCAGCCCAACTCCTGTGAACAGCCCTTTATTACACATTCGAAGCATCTCTTTGAGGCATCAAAGTACAAGCATGCACATGGAATTACATACGAGTATGTGACATAAGCCCACCATTGCACAACTTTGTCTGCAACAATGCAAATACAATCAAGCTGGAAATGGATTAATAAATTATCAGTATTTTGATATATACATTATGGCTCATGTCTAAAGACACCTGCACTTTCATATTGAAATTGTTCTAATATCATCAAAACAAAGCACATCAGAAAACTGTAACATCAGCCAAATGAGCAAATCACTTTTTTAACACAATTTATGGTAAAATGAAACATGTAATAGTATCTGAAACAAAACCAAATCACATATTATTCAAAAGTTGCAAACACTGTTGCATATTAATTAAACAAAATATCGTCGCATTTCTAGAGTAGTGGTAACTAACTATAAATTTAATAGGCCAATTTAAACTCGACTATGAAGAATATCAAAAACTAAAGGTCATGTTTCAGTTTATAAACCCAGACTTTAGTTTTATAAATATAAACATTAACGCTATACGAACTACGAAGGCACGAAGCCAATGATTCAATGAAGGCAAATTTTGCCCTAAATACTCGGTCAGAACCTCAGAGGTGTATTCTAGCACACAATTAATCTTCTCTCACAGTTTAAAACAAACAGTAATACTAACCTTCGACAAATTGTGTATAAATCTTTCACAGATTTTGCCAAAAATATTTCTTGACGGACAAAGTAATATTATGGACACTCCTTGTGTGAAAATGTTAATTTATCCCGAGGTTTGAATATATTAATCCAAGATTGCATTATTTGCATAATAATGTCTTGCCATTGACCAATCAGAATACATAGAAGACCGGCCGGTGCCAGGGCCTTTTCCCGCCTTCCCAATGACAAAAAGGGAAAAGCCCTGGGAACGAGGTTGGAGTATTTGTCAGAATAACGTCAATAAGTGACGATGTAGTCTCAGTGACTCTCGTAGGTTCATTTATAACTTGTGTTAATTGATATAAGGAGCACAATGCTTGTAGTTTTTGAGTACAGAAACCCTGAGGCACCTTACTAAAATCACAGTTTAAGTCCCCAAGCAAAATTATTTCCTTATCTTCTATATCACATTTAAAAAGAAATAGTTCAAAGTCATTAAATATGTCAATATCAGAACTAGGTGGTCGATACCATGTACTTATCAAGAAGGGTTTACTATGCTTTCTATTAACCTCAATACATATCATTTCAAGGTCATCAGGGACTAAATTCTTTCTTTCCACATATGGAATATTGTTTTTTATATAAAGTACCACACCACCACCGTATCTATTACGATCTAACCGAACGATTGAATAATCCTGTATACTGATTTCAGAGTTCAAAATTGAAGGATCAATTTTTGATTCGTTAATAGCCAAAATATCAAAGGGGTAATCAGACAACATAGTGCGAATTTCGTCAATATGTTTTAAAAGACTATTTACGTTTAAATTAGCAATTCTCAAGCCTTTTAACTTAGAAACATCAAAATCAAACAAACTAGAGGCAGAATCACTAGAAACTGGCTTTTCCCTAGGCCCTATTTTATCGCTAGAGCTAAAGTTATCACTAAAATTATCGCTAAAGTTATCACTAGAGTTATTTGTTGAATTTAACGAGTCCGTTCTCGTGTAATCGTCCTCAGAATATTCTCTAATTGACGTGCTGTCCTTTCCATTTGAAAATTTTCATACTGGCGGTTACGTGAATAGGTTGCTGAAGGCTTCCCTCCCCTTAGGAAGTTAATAAAATTAACAGCAAGTAAAGCTGTTCCTTTTATCGTTTAAATGCAATCTACTACCATTGAGGCAAGATCCGTTTATGTTTTTATGATCTATAAAAGTATAATTATGTCTAATACACATTTCTTTAATTTGATTGTTAACATCTGCCATCTTAGCAGAAGATTCGATATCGTTTCTTACTGTAATACCCGAGATCCCAACCTCGGCATTTGGAAACTTATCATGCACCGTAGAGCATAATTTCTCTATTTTATTAAGACAAGCATTCGGTAGGGAGGGTAGCGATCAATCAATCAATCAATCAATCAAAGCTTTATTTAACTGACACGGTGAAATCTAATCTAAGAGATTATGACTAACATATAATATGGTTATAATTAAGCTATGATAATTAATACACTTTAAACTTATGCAAACACTAAAATACTGATTAGTCGGTGGGGCCACCTGTGGTGCCCACCGACTCTAGGTTTCGGCACGCATTTTTTTTCGCGGATCGCAGATCGCAAATCTCCATTGTACACAAATTTCCATTATGACACGTCACGATTTTAAGGAAATTTGAGTATATTGAAGTGGAAACATGTGAGACAACGACATTGAATTATAGAACTATATTTAGTTGGAAAATTGAGGAAAATTGAGTATATTTAAGTGGAAACATTTGCGACAAGGATTCAAGATTCTCTGCTCAAGGAGTGAAAGCACAAAATATCGTGAATGTTTTTGTATAGTTTTCAAGGATTCAAGACTGAAGCCTGATAGATGTTTCACAGGGTAAGTACTGAATGTATTTTATCTTCAGATACTCTCATCTCGCATGAATGTGCATATATTCGTGATAGACCTATGATTCATGAATACAAACATACCTTCGGGTACAAAAAATGCAAATATACCTTCGGGTACATACATGCATTATTCGTGGAAAGGCCTACACTAAAATATGTTGAGCGTTTTCGAACCAGGTAGAAAGCAGGCTTTATAGTGAATAGATTTTTGCGCGTTTGCCGTTTGATCCAAATATGGGCTAGCTTGTTAGTTTTGTACATAATTTCATATATTTGTATCGCGCGGCGGAGACATCGGGCGCGCAAATGTTGATGCTTTCCCAGTTTGCAGAACGTGGCACATTTCGACGAGATCTCGGGTGCGATATACCAAGAATTTCAAGTGCAGGTGCGCTTCAAACTGTCAGGTGCGCACCTGAAAAATTGTAAAAAATGCTGTAGGTGCGAATTTTTTGTGACAAGGTGTGTCACCGCCGGTCCGCCGGCTGGGAAATAGTAAATTACAATTTATCAGCGGCTTATCTCTTGTCTTTCCCCCCACGGTCCACTCTTTCGTATATCTTTTCTTGCGTGGCCAAATACGCGCTAGACAGTAACCCACTGAGCAGTAACCTGAGTTGAAGAATGCGTATTGCGTAAGCTGATTTGATATTTTCGCGCCAATTTTTCCTGAAAGAAAATGGCGGAAGCTATAGAAGTAACATGTGCAGTTTGCGATAAAGAGGTAGGAACAGGACACAAATGTAAGTTATGCAGC